TCCATAGACTTGGCAACTCATGACAAGAGCCTAGGGAGATTACTGAGGCCATAAACAAGAGTGTGAATTTGTTAAGTCAACAACAGGAGTCACTGTGCACTTACTCCTCATGGAGGATCTCTGTCCTTAATGTGCTGTACATTGTGATTTAATGCTATAACTAGTACTCAAACAGTATTTTTCACTTTGTGTTTCTATGTGGATGCAAACTATTGAAATCTTGACTTAATGTATGCTAAACTGATCTTCTGTATATAAAGAGAATTGAAAATGAATCTTGATGTGAATGGAAGTGGAGAGCGAGATGGAAAGGGGAGGGTTGCGGGTGGGAGGGCCGTTATGGGGGGGAAGCCATTGTAATCCATAAGCTGTACTTTGGAAACTTAGATTCATCAAATAAAGTTTAAAAAAATTAAAAAAAGAAACCCTACAGACTAGGAGACAATGGCAAGATATAGCCCAAGTTCTAAGAGAAAAAAGTGTCATCCAAGAATATTATGCCCTGCAGAACTCTCATTTGTGAGTGAAGGTGAAATAAAGACATTTCATAGCAAACAGAAACTGAAGAATTTGTCACCTCTCATCGAGCCCTGGAAAAGAAGTTTAAAGTTCGGTTACACAAAAATACAAGAAAACATGGTCATCAATATGAAAGAAGGAAGGCGGTGCCATAGCTCACTAGGCTAATCCTCTGCCTGCTGCGCTGGCATCCTGGGTTCTAGTCCCGGTTGGGGTGCCAGATTATTTACTGGCTGCTCCTCTTCCAGGCAGGTCTCTGCTGTGGCCCAGGAAGGCAGTGGAGGATGGCCCAAGTGCTTGGGCCCTGCACCTGCATGGGAGAACAAGAGGAAGCACCTGGCTCCTGGCTTCAGATTGGCGCAGCGCACTGGCCATGGCGGCCATTTAGGGGATGAACCAACGGAAGGAAGACCTTTCTCTCTTTCTCTCTCTCTCTCACTGTCTAACTCTGCCTGTCAAAAAAAGAGAATATACCTAAGGGAAATGAAATTGGCAAATAAATGAGCTATCTGCATCTCCATGTTCATTACAGCTCAATTCACAATAGCTAAGACATGGATTAATCCTAAATGCCCATCAACAGAAGACTGGATAAAGAAATTATGGCATATGTACTCTGTGGAATACTGCACAGTAGTAAAAAAAAAAAAAAGATGAAATCGGGTCATTTGCAACTAAATGGAGGAATCTGGAAAACATCATACCGCTTGAAATAAGCCAGTCCCAAAGGGACAAATGTCATATGTTCTCCTTGATCTGTGAAAACTAACAGAGCTCGTAAAAGAGAATCTCTAGAAGTGAAACTGATACTATGAGAAGCAATGACTTAATAGGCCCTTGTCCTGACTGTCAAGGAACAGGTTAATATTTTATTCTTTAGTATTTTCTTACTCTTCTTAATATCATTGATCGATCTCTTTACAACTTAGGTGTTTTAACTATACTTAGGCATTTAAGTCCAATAAAAATTGATCCCTGTAAAAATTAAAGTGGGAATAAGAGAGGGAGGAGATGTAAAGTTCAGTACATGTTCCCAAGGATTAATCATAGGGGTAGAGCTAAAAACCTGCCATGGGACTCCAAATCACATTAAGTTGACAGGTACAAATGACATCTTACTAGTTGAAGGAATAGTAGAAGTTCATAACTAAACATACAGATAGGATTAAGTGTCAAAGGAAACTTGAGAAGCAGGACACACAGCAGACTCTTAGAATGACAAATGCTCCAAACAGCACTTTGGCCTCAGAATCAGCCCTTAAGGCATTCGCATCTGGCTAAAAAGACCATGAGAGCTTTTGAGGTATGAAAAGTCAAGACACTGTGGCAATAAATGACCTACATGAATGATCTCTGTGAGTGATATCCCCATGGAAAGAAAGGGTCATCAAAGAAGGAGGTATTTTTCTCTGAAGGGAGGAGAGAACTTCCTCTTTGATTATGGTCTTGTCTAAATAATTCTGTAGTTTGTGAGCTTGAGAGAGTTCCACGGCCTGGGCAGCTCACGACAAGAGCCTTGGGTCATAAATAAGAGTGTCAATTGTTAAATCAACAACAGGAGTCACCATGCACTTTCTCTCCACGTAGGACCTCTGTCCTTCATGTGTTGTACTATGAGAATTAATGGTAAAACTAGTCTTCAAACAGTACTTTATATGTTTTGTGTCTGTGTGGGTGCAAATTGTTGAAATCTTTACTTAGGATAGAGTTGATCTTCTGTATACAAAGATGATTAAAATGAATCTTAATGAAGAATGGGATGGGAGAGGGAATAGCAGATGCGATGGCTTAGGGGTGGGAGAGCATCTGTGGAGGGAAGAATCACTGTAACCCAAAAGTTGTGCTTATGGAATTCATATTTATTAAATAAAAGTTTTCTATTAAAAAACAAAGTTAATGAATTCAACACATGACTCTGTTACCTTATTCCAGAATCCTGAGCATACAGGCAATGGGTGGCATTGGTGATGGTTTAATTAGTTGGGTTACTACTGCATGCATGGATATACTGGATTGGGTTCCTTTTTCCCAGATTTGCCCCAGTGTTGATGAGGGCATTTGGGGAGTACATTGGAAATCAATCAGCCTCTCTCTTTCTTACTCTCCCTCTTTCTCTATTACTTTTCTATTATTCTCTATTACTTTCCCTCTCTCTATCTGTAACTCTCTGTCCTTCATATAAATACATGTCTTTATAAAAAGAAAATATAAATACTTTTAGAAAGGAATTCTCACTATTTAAGGATCTTACTATTGGTGTGTATTATCTTACTATTCATCCATTATTAGACATGAAAATAGATATGTGATTAATAAGTCTTCTTACTTGAAACCCTTGGGAACATATGGCATCTGGTCATTTTGGCTAATTACAGAGAGAATCCCATTTGCATTTTGTAGATCTTCTTCTCACATAGTATTGGTAGTTTTTTACAGCAGCCAGAGGGAAGCAGGCCAGAAGCCTATGATGATTTCACATTCTCTAAGTCAGATGACTTGTTGTCTAAGTGCCCATTACCCTTGGAGGGACTTATGGAAGGAACAGCAGGTTAGGGACACTCCATTTTCAAATCTTTCTTAAGACAGGTTTTAATGAGTTCTTGAAGATAATTGTCTAGGTGTCAGTTACTCCTTTTGATGGAGATTGTGAAAGATGTTTAAGAGGAAGTGTTAATCTTAGGGTTTTGGTTAGCTGGTCAACACTGATGAGCTCTTTGAGTGTCTGGGATCAAGATTCAGGTAGGGGTTTACACCTGAAGATACATATCAAATTGTGAGAATTGGCAATGAATGAATACTGGGCATGGCATAGGTTCAAATACTATTGTAGAAGTGACCCTATGCAGGATGACTCTGTAGATGACCAGGACATCACATCAGGACTTCTGCAGAATGTGAACCATGAGACTGGACAGTCTTTGAGGCTTCAGTGTCTCTGAATAAAAGATCAACAATGTTGTTGGAGTTACTTTTTACTCTTTTGCATCACTCTGATTCATGGTCATGGGAATGGGAAATCTGGGAAGTAAGACAGAACAGTTGCTGGTCCCTTGTGTCTTTATTGATGCCTGAACCTCAGGATGCCATTTGTGACAAGATGTTTGCTCTCTGCAATTGATCATTGATAATCTAATACTCAAGGGCAAATTTGTGATGTAAAGATCCCCATTTCAAGACACGTGCCTGTAAGTTATAAGTAGACACTTAGAGAAGTGCAGGGAAAGTAATTTATTAAGAAAGACGTTGAAACCTTTACATTTTACACTAAGATTAGGCTATTCAGTAGAGACAATGGAAACCACAGTCAAATGATGGCCAGATTTCACAATTCACATTCCTTCACAATTTGTGCCTAAAATGAAAATAGAAAGGTAAAAGAGAGAGAGAAAAACTGAGTTTATTCATTCTGTTCCTAGAGACAACAGGTCACCACCAACCAGAAGTCACTGAAATTCTGCTTTCAAAAAACATTATGTAAAATTAGAAAGCCAAAAAGCAGGGTGTATGAAAAATCATGGCATGAACTGATGGAATTTTCACCAACAAGACACATTAGGTGACAGCCTTTCTAAAGTAAGTAAAATATAAGGGACCTCCAAAAGCTCTTACTCAATAAATATAAAAATCTGTCTATTATAACATAAAAAATTTGAAGGCCTACCTAGGATTTTTGTAATATGCTCTTGTGGATGAGATCCTGTATACTTGTTAGAGGACCCAGGTGTATCATTCGAGTTTCAAACAGAAGGGGTAGCATTAAGAACAAGACAAGGAGCCAGCAGTGCCAGCATCCAATATGGGTGTAGATTCAAGTCTCCATGGGAATTTTACTTCAGGACTCATGAATCTCTCAGCACTAAGGTTCAACATTTGTGGGCATTTGCACCTGAACTGACTATCTAAAAGCAGGATCAGACAGGATAAGAGACATCTTTACCATCAGGTTTTCTGATAAAGAGATATATTTGAAACCGCAGGAGACTAAGCAGCAATGCACACATTGAAATCAAGGGAGTTAGGAGGAGCTGGGAGAGAATCCCAGACCACCAACACATGATTGGACAGAGAATAGGTCCAGTCTCCTCCTTTCAGTCTGGCTCACTGTCCAACACACCCAGCATCCACATGCAAGTCTCTAAAGTGACTAAATGCCCTGGGATGGTGGTGTTCATCCTCAGGACAGCTCAGATGCAGGAAGGAATGAGAGCCTGAGCTTTCAACATCATTGCTTCGATCTCAGAATGTCTTCTTGATTGGTACAACAAAGGATGATGGCATCTGAGGAGAGGCATGCAGGATCCCAGGATACCACGTGTAGCTGAGTTTAATTTAGCAGGTATTCTGGTATCTTCAACCCTATGCTGAGGACATTAGCAAGGCAGGTGTTCTGACTACTGGGCACCACATAGAACAGCCAGTTGACATCATGCCTTGTGTTGTGACCAAACAGGATCTCTATGCATAAAGGAGAATGAAATTACCAGCACTGCTGCCATGAGCTGTCTTTTTTCTAAGGCGATCTTATCCGTGCATTCCTTCAATTGCATTTTTGCCTCAACAGCTTCAGGAGGTGCATTGTATTTTGCTAAAGCTAGCCGAAAAGCAGATTTTGTGGCCAGTAAACAGGCTGTGCTGTCAGCAACAAAGGCTGGACACGCTGCTGCATCAGCTGGAGAACAAGAATAGAAATAGAGTTTACATATGACAGGTCTTCCCCCTGCCCAGGGCTCTCTAACATCAGACAAAACGAGATCCCCAGAGTTTCTTCTTTGCAACCTGTAACTGTGCTAATGACAATGGAAAACCCTTGATGTTGTAATTTCCTCTGAATTGCATACCGAGTGACAGAACTAAGACCAGAGAAGCAGTTTCTTCCACACTAATTCAGTTTTGGTATGTATTCTAGTAGGCATCTACTGCTTTCCAGGGCTTCTCGCCTTTGCTGAAATTCCCTTTCAGTATTTGAGAAAGCTCACGTGTGTCTGCACATTGAGTGACAGCTTAGCAGACATGGATTCTGGAGAAAGAAACTTTAGGATGATCAAATTTGGAAGTCAAAGGAGGTGGCAGATTCTTATCATAGATGTGCATAGATGTGCAGTGAGAGTAAATCTGGAGGAGAGTGTGTGAAATAATTAGTATCTGAGCTGGGGATATTCTGAGACTAGATGGGAGGAACTCAGTTTATGCCATTGGGTGTAGATGAACTAAAAATTAAACTTCAAAGAGACAGAAGCATTCTTTCGACATCAGAATCTTCTGCAGTAAACAGTGATTTGTCTTCTGTTTTACAGAATGTTGAAAATCCTTCACAAGAATGAATGGAGGGGACTCTATCTCATTCTTGCCCTACCAGAAATTGTGGGCAGATCTGGAAGAACTTTTTGTGCAGAACTTAACTTCTCTCTCCTTCGAGATTTTGTACTCACTTTGCAAACATAATAACCTTGACTGTTGAATGTATTCCAGATCACATCAAACATTAGGTGGAACATTGAAAGAAAATAACCAAAGAGAAAATGCTGGAGCTAGGAGTGGGCTCAGAAAGTGAGAGGATAAAGTGGGTTTCAGAGAACCTTGGATCATTTCCAAGGGTGTGAAGAGATGCACCATTTTGTATGTTGAAAGCATCATCAGAGTTAATTCTACAGAAAGAAAAGTCATATAGTGCTAACCTGTACAGTAAATCTACCGTGGGTTGAGCACTCTTAGGAAATCTGGAATTCTCATAAATGGCTCCTTTGTTCCTTAACCCATTGGAACTACCTTACTCAAGAGATTCAGACACAACTGGCTCTTCTCAGACTGGACACTCTACACAGTTCATTACAACTATAACACATAATGACTGAATTTAGGACTCTGTTAGGGGGAGAAAAATACCTGATCATTACAGATATTATCTTCATGTCTATAATGGGACTCATGACATCTTTAATCTCACTGCATTCTTACTCATGTTGTGAGCTAGAAACTGAAAGGATAAGAGGAGACTGGAACAGAGTAAACATTTGGCTCAAGGTCAAAAGGCTGAAAAGTGGTAGAGTTAAGACTTACACTGAGACTTCCCACTATACTCTGCTGCTGTCAAAGTTCACACACCAGGCCGGCGCCGCGGCTCACTAGGCTAATCCTCCGCCTAGCGGCGCCGGCACACCGGGTTCTAGTCCCGGTCGGGGCGCCGGATTCTGTCCCGGTTGCCCCTCTTCCAGGCCAGCCCTCTGCTGTGGCCAGGGAGTGCAGTGGAGGATGGCCCAGGTGCTTGGGCCCTGCACCCCATGGGAGACCAGGAAAAGCACCTGGCTCCTGGCTCCTGCCATCGGATCAGCGCGGTGCGCCGGCCGCAGCGCGCCGACCGTGGCGGCCATTGGAGGGTGAACCAACGGCAAAGGAAGACCTTTCTCTCTGTCTCTCTCTCTCACTGTCCACTCTGTCTGTCAAAAAAATAAAAAAAAAAAAAGTTCACACACCAGCCAAGGAGTCATGCTCCTATCAATTTCCCAAAATTTCCTGTAACGGTGTTCTTGTCAATTTTCTGGATATGGGAAAGTTTACTGTGAACCTTGAGATGTTGGGGGCTATTTCACTAAACTGAGGGGAGACTTTGGAACTGTGATCTGTTCCAGATCGTATTCCCACATCAAATAACATCACTTGCTGTGAAGAGAAGGCTTTTACCATACTCACTACAAATGATACTCACCCTCATAGCAGCCAAGGGCCAGAGCGACCAGCAGGAGAGGCACCAGCAGCTTCATTGCTTTGAGCTCTCAGCTTTAGAGAACTGTGAAGGATGGTTCTTCCTGCAGGGAATGTGGAGAAGCAGGAGCCCAGGGCTATTTGTACCTCGTGAGCCTTCTGTGTTCTGCCCACAGAGGCCTGTGGGAGGTCACAAGACCTGGCTTCCAGCCATTCTTCCTCAGGCAGGATAGATGATTTTCATCAGTATGAGTCTGCACACCTCCCTTAGTGTACACAAGATGATAGCCTGAGGGAACACTCTGCTCTGTCAGCTAGAAGTGTATTAGAGTGACAACGAAATGCTAGGTTTGGAATAGTTTGCTTTTAGGATTATGATTTTTGCACCTTTCTTTTATCTGTCCATGCAGAGGCCCCCATGTTCTCTGAGAACAGTAAGTGATGGGCAGAGACTACAGGAAACTGCATGTTTGTCTCTTGGTTCAGAAAAAACAGACATACAGAAGACCCCATGTTGTCCCCCAACTTCTCATTGTGTGACAGCTGATCTGGTATGTTTCACTTGCATGCTGATGCACAGTGAACAAGAATATTCTTTTCCCTGTCTCTCTTTCCATCACCACTTTATCCACTCAATTCCCATACAACATGGCTTAAATATCTCACTTACAGAGACTTTCATGGTGAAAATAATTTCCTCCCTGTTTTCACCAGCCTCAGTCCTGTCTCGGGTACGTTCAACACAGGTGATGTTGACACATTGCATGGATTCACATTTTCATTCCAGGAAGAGAAAATCTGATGAGTGATATTAACCAGTCGACATAGCAGGAAGTTATGAGGGCCTCTACCTCTCACAAACATTGGTATAGATAATTCACAGTCTAGAATCATTTATGAAGAACTAGAAGCTATATGAAAGGCATGTGAGTAACAGGAGATATTAACTTAGACTCAGCAAAATAGTTTCTGACCGCTCTTGCACAGTATGCTCCGTAGATCTTGCTGTATCACAGGACAGGAAAGACCTCCTGCTCCCAGCTTCACTCAGGCAAGGGAAGATACCAGGTCTCATATTAGTGTGCCAACATAGCCTAGCTGCTGTCTTGACAGTCCTGGAGCTGTGGTATGTCTGAAATAGTCTGGTCACCTATGGGAGAATGCAGGTAGTGACATTTTGTGATGGACTGCACTGATCTGTGCTTGTGCTTAGTGTGGTATGAGCTTTAAAATCTGAGCTCATATGCCTCTTGAGAAATAAATAATTGATCCCTATATCTACCACCAAGCTTCTTTCAGATACTTAAAGAAGCTAACTGAACATTGAACATGCTGCGAATGATAGCACAAATTGAAAAGAGTATGATGGAGACAAAAGAAAGATAAATGGTCGCTATTAGAATGGAGTAGGAGGGGGCCGGCACTGTGGTGCCACAGGTTGAAGCCCTGGCCTGAATCGCTGACATCCCATATGGGCGCTGGTTCTAGTCCTGCCTGCATTTCTTCTGATCCAGCTCTCTGCTATGGCCTGGGATAACATTATAAGATCAGCCAGGTTCTTGGGCCCCTCACCCACGTAGGAGACCTGGAGGATGCTGCTGACTCCTGGCTTCAGATCGGGGCATTCCTGCAGCTGCAACCACCTGGGGAGTGAACCAGCAGATGGAAGACCTCTCTCGGTTTCTCTACCTCTCTCTGTAACTATGGCTTTCAAATAAATAAAATAAATATTTACAAAAAAAAAAGAATGATGTAGGAGAATGAATGGACAGATTACAACAAAGGTACAGGAAAGGCCATTATTACCATTATGTTGTGTAGAAAACATGACTCATTGTTCCAAGCCTTGAAAATAGACACAATGCGAGTCGGCACCATGGCTAACATGCTTAATTCTCTGCCTGTGGTGCTAGCATCCCATATGGGCACCCAGTTCAAATCCTGGGGGCTCCTCTTCTTGTCCATCTCTGCTATGGCCCAGGAAGGCAGCAGAGGATGGCCCAAGTGCTTGGGCACATGCACCTGCATGGGAGACCAGGAGGAAACACCTGTCTCCTGGCTTCAGGTCTGCAGAGCTTGCCCACCATAGCAAACATTTGGGGGGTGAACCAGCAGAAGGAAGATCTTTCTCTCTGTCTCTCTCTCTAACTGTCTAAAACTGCCCGTCAAATAAAAAAAATGGAAAAGGTTGTTTAAGAAAAAAGAACATAACACACAATTATTCTTAGGTGTTTAATTTCACTGAAAAGTGATCCCTGTTAAATATAAGAGTGGGAATAAGAGAGGGAGGAGATGTACAGTTCAGCACATGCTCAATTGGACTTGCCCCAAATGGTGAAGTTAGAAATGTGCCAAGGGATTCCAATACAATCCCTTCAAGGTGGCATGTACCAATATCATCTCACTAGTCCAAGTGATCAATTTAAGTTCACAACTGATAATTCTGATAGGTCTAAGAGTCAAAGGGATCCATAAACAAGACTAGTGTCTGCTAATACTAACTGATAGAATCAAAAAGGGAGAGAACAATACAGCATGGGAAGTGGGATACACAGCAGACTCATAATATGGCAGATGTCCTAAACAGCACTCTGGCCTCAGAATCAGCCCTTAAGGCATTTGGATCTGGCTGAAGAGCCCATGAAAGTATTTTAGGCATGGAAAGCCAAGACACTCTGGCAAAAAGAAAAAGAGGACCTAAATGAAAGAACTCTGAGAGTGAGATCCCACTAGAAAGAACGGGCCATCAAAGAAGGCAGTACCTTTCTTTGAAGGGAGGAGAAAACTTCTACTTTGACTTTGACCTTGTCTGAATAAGATCAGAGTCGACGAACTCAAAAGGCTTCCATAGCCTTGGCAACTCATGACTAGAGCCTAGGGAGATTACTGATGCCATAAACAAGAGTGTCAAATTGTTAAGTCAGCAACAGGAATCACTGTGAACTTACTCCTCATGTAGGATCTCTGTCCTTAATGTGTTATTCAATATGAATTAATGCTATAATTAGTACTGAAACAGTATTTTACACTTTATATTCTATGTGGGTGCAAACTGATGAAATCTTTACTTAATATATACTAAATTGGTCTTCTGTATATAAAGATAATTGAAAATGAATCTTAGGCCAGTGCCGCGGCTCACTAGGCTAATCCTCTGCCTTGCGGCGCCGGCACACCGGGTTCTAGTCCCAGTTGGGGTGCCGGATTCTGTCCCAGTTGCCCCTCTTCCAAGCCAGCTCTCTGCTGTGGTCAGGGAGTGCAGTGGAGGATGGCCCAAGTCCTTGGGTCCTGCACCCCATGGGAGACCAGGATAAGTACTTGGCTCCTGCCAATGGATCAGCGCGGTGCGCCGGCCGCAGCGCGCCAGCCGCAGCGGCCATTGGAGGGTGAACCAACGGCAAAGGAAGCCCTTTCTCTCTGTCTCTCTCTCTCACTGTCCACTCTGCCTGTCAAAATAGAAAAAGAAAAAAAATGAATCTTCATTTGAAGGGAATAGGAGAGGGAATGGAGGTAAGGTTGCGGGTGGGAGGGAAGTTATGGTTGGGGGAAGCCATTGTAATGCATAAACTGTACTTTGGAAATTTATATTTACTAAACAAAAGTTTTTTAAAAAAAGAAAATAAACACAATGGAGGAAATAGTAACGATAACTATGTACTTTGCATGATCTTGAGGTCTCATTGTGGGTTCACCCTGTGGAGGATACCATGGAAGCCATTAAGTGTATCAGGCAGATGATATATTTGATGTCCCTACACTTTCTGTTCAACCCAAGTGTCAGTGAATCTTTATTCTAAAGAAGTCAGTCTATCAAACTAGCAAAAAGCATGTCATTATCATATTTTCTGAAAATAAAAGGGAAGATGTATTTGAAAAACTGAGTGAGTGGACTAAGTGAACGTTATATGCATATTATGTAAAACAGAGAAATAGAAGTTTATCAACTGTGAAACTATCACACATGAAAGGAATTCAAGTTAACTGAAAGAATAGCCAGCACATAAGAATTAATCAGTCTCTCTAGACAGACTATTCACATGACATATGCTGAATAGGAAAAACTATACTATTGGTGACAGTAACAACAACCAAACTAAATATAAATATGAACGTATTTATGAGAAAATCATGAAATTTGACTTGTGGGTAGGAGAAAATCATGAAAGCAAAGTCATTCACCCCAGGGAATCATTAGATATTTGAAGACATCAAATATTCTGAAATTATTTGACAATCACAGCTGTGCCAATCAGAATCTAAATAGTCTGATTGAATGCTTAATGTTGGACTCTCTGAATTGTGGATTGTGCCTCACAATTAGAACATATTGATTGGTTGATAGGTGAAGAAGAATCCAACTTTTGACAAGAATACCTGAAGTCAACCTCAGCTCTTGTGTTTGTTGGGTGTTGGGGGTTTGAGGGTGGGAGGATACAGAAAATTATTTAATCTCACAGCTTCAGTTGGTTCATAGACAAAACAAACCTGAAAACAGCCATATCCAGCTCATAGGTTTGTCTATAATTCAATAGAGGAACAGTAGTACAGCACTGGGTTCCGAGGTGGCAGAATAGGGATCAGATGATCTGAATCACATGAAAAAAATTAATAGCTAAAGGGGGAGAAGATTAGATGAGATGAGATCAGATCAGATGAGATCAAATGAGAGCAGATGTGATCTGATGAGATAAGGTTTGGGAAACTTGCAGTGGGAAACCCAACAAGAACAGCAGAGACTGTCAAGTCCGCGCCAAAAAAGCAAATAAGAAAAGGAAACAGCAGAGACTCTGACTGGGGAGGTGAGTGCCAACCCATAGCAGACCAAGTGAGGGGGGCATCCACGAATCCATGGAGCTGTGGATAGCAGCAGGAGGGAGAGCTTGTTGTACTGCAGTTGCAATTCCATGTGGGTGGGAAGCAGGACACACAGCAGACTCATAGAATGGCAAATGCCCTAAACAGCACTCTGTCCTCAGGATAACCCCTTAAGGCATTCAGATCTGGCTAAAAATCACATGAGAGCTTTTCAGGCAAGGAAAGCCAAGAAACTGTGGTAAAA